GGAGGACCTCCCCCAGTGGGGCCTCCGTGCTTGGCTGTCTTGTTAATTCCACGTGCCTTTGTGGGAGGGTGCGTGGCGTTTTCTGGAGCCGGGGTACGGGGGGAGCAGGGGCACAGAGGCACAGATGGGGCCCAGGATAGGGTGTTTCCTGGCAGAGGGAAGGTTGGGAAGGATCAGAGGCGGCTGCCCAGGACTCAGGAAGCAGCGCTGCCCTGTCTGTGGCCCACTCAGCCCCTTGTGGTCTCCACAGTGACCCTTGCCCAGCTCCGGATGGGTTTTTGCACTCAGGGACCCACGGCCCTGCACGGTGGGCGTTTGGCCTTTCCTTGTGGAGTCGGGGAAGCAGACCTGGTATTCACCGCGCTGGAAGCCTGTCCCAGAAGTGGGCCGTTGGAGAGAGTGGCATGACGCCAGAGCCAGGGGAGGGCAGCTCTCTGCTTTAGCAGGGCAGGTCCTGGTGGGTGTGCGGCCTTGGCAGGCACAGAACCAAGGCTCAAACGCCCGAGGGGAAGGCTGGGCCTAGGTGGGCTGGCGGTAGGGTGTGGGTATGGGAAGGGGTATTTGGTGACTTTTTCCTTTTCCAAAAAACAGCCTAATTAATCTTGTTTACCGGATGCCTGCTTACCAGGTGCAAACCCCTGAGGGAACCGCCCCTTGGCTTCCATCCAAATGAATTCCCTGATAATTAGAAGGTGCCTTCCAGGGCGCCCCATGGTCCTTCCCGACCTCTCTAGGTGCCACCTACCCAGAGCCTTCTGATGTGCTCCCACGGGTCAGTGCGCAGCGTCCCTGGGGCACCCTGCAGCTTGTAAAACATTTTCTTGGGGAGCTTCTCAGTTCCGATAGGCCCACTGAGGTCCTGGCCCTCCAAAGCAGGGTAGGGCAGGGGCTAGGTGCCAGGAAGGTCCCCCCTCCCAGAAGCCTCAGGTAACCTTGGCTGGGGCTCAGCGGGTCTCTGTCTGCAGGGACCAAACTCTGGGCCCCGTGTGCTCACTTTGAAGCCACACGGTTGTAACAGAGCTCCTGGCAGCTGTGCTGGAAGCTTCTAGACCTGTGTGGAGCCCCTCAGGCTGCTGACAAAGTCTCATAGGACCAATGAGGAACCTGAGGCCCCAGAGGGGCAGCGGCTTGGCCTTGACCTTCTTAGGCCCACTGAGGGCAGTTTCTTCCGCTTTGTGGTTGGGGAGGCAGCCTCCAGCTGGGGCTGAAAATGCTCCACGTGGGCAGTGCTTCGGGGGATGTTCATATCAAGGAGCCGGGTGCTCGGACTGGGCTCAGCCAGGAGCTGCACCCTCTTCAGAGTCTGAGCTGCTAGGACCCCTTCCCATCTGAGAGGCCAGGCTACTTGGGGCTAGTGGGGGTGGAGCAGGTGGGGTGTCCTTAGGATGCCGCCACAGGCCCCGAGGTAGGGAACAAGACAACCTCCCTCTTTGCGCCTCTGCCTCAGATCCCCCCACTTCCCCCGAGTCAACAAGGCAGCCTTCGGGCCTTTGCAGGCCCTCCTCTCTCCCTCCCTTGGGGTCTCCACCTAAGCACAGATTGACTTTGGGGAAAACCCTCCCTTTCAAAATGTGAAGTGGCCTGAGGTCCAAACTCTGACCTCATTACTTTGAAGCAGGGCTGAGGGGCTCCTTCTTGGCTGACGTGCATATTGTTTTATTTATTTATTTATTCGAGAGAGAGAGATTGTTTTATTTATTTGAGAGAGAGAGAGTGCGCTCAGCAGCATGAGCAGGGGGGAGGGGCAGAGGCAGAGGGAGAAGCAGACTCCCCGCTGAGCAGGGAGCCCGACGTGGGGCTCGATCCCAGGGACCCCGGGTTCATGACCTGAGCTGAAGGCAGACGCTTGACTGACTGAGCCACCCAGGTGCCCCAGATGTGCATATTGTTTGTAGCCTTTATCCCTGGTGAGGGGTAGGGAAAGACCCCCCCATCTGTTCATCCCCAACCAGCCCCTGGGAGAAGGGGTATTCCCATGAGGTGGGCTGGGCTGGATGTCCCCTTGAGATCCGCCAGTCAAGCCCCTCAGTGGACATGCCCGGTAAGTGCCCCCCCGCCCCCAGCATGTGGCCGGTCTGGGCCTCTCTCTGCTGGCAGCCAGGACTTCTGAGGCATTGGCTCCTCTCTGTTTACTCAGGCGGAGTTGGGCCAGAGGGGGTCTCCCATTGGCGCCTTTGGACTGGTTGTGGGTCAGGGTGGGCGGGGAGGGTGGCCCTCCACCTCTGACCAGGGATGGGTGTGCATTCTGCCCCCGGGCTCCCCACCCCACATCCGGGAGTTTTCAGCTGTGCGAGGGGGCACGAACTGACCGTCCCCCCCCGGGCCCCAGCTCAGCGGTGGTGGGTGTTGGACTTTGCCTCCCTGGTTCTGACCCACGGTCCTGGAGCCTCCTTGGTGGTCTGAAGCATCATTTCCTTCTAAAGACAATCAAAACCTAAATTCCAGGTTAAATGCCAGACAGCACGCCTACAGTGATCCCTTCCTTCCGGCCCCAGGCAGAGGCCCAACCACCAGGCCCTGCAAAGCCTCCTCTCCTGAAGGCTGGTGGCCAGCCGCGATTTTCTTTATCCTGAGCTCTCTTGCTCCGCAGTGTTGCTAGGAGTGTCCTGGGGCTACAGTAATGTGTCACCACAGCCTGGGTGCCTTAAGACAACAGATTCCTCATCTGACAGTTCTGGAGGACAGAGGTCCAGAATACGTCCCCCTGGGCTAACGCTGGGTGTGGGCAGGGCTGGCTCCTTCTGGAGGTTCCAGGGGAGACGCGGCTGTTACTCTGCCAACCGCAGGGCAGGAGATCTAGCCAGGTTGTCTTTCAGGACTCTCTAGAATCATCTCTGATAAGACTTTTAAAAAACTGTTATTTGAATATAGTTGACATACAATGTTACATTAGCTTCAGGCATACAACTTAGTGATTTGAAAAGTTCGTATGTGGGCACCTGGGTGGCTCAGTCAGCATCTGCCTTCGGCTCAGGTCATGATCTCAGGGTCCTGGGATCGAGCCCCGCGTCGGGCTCCCTGCTCAGCGGGGAGCCTGCTTCTCCCTCTCCCTCTGCCTTCTCCTCCTGCCCCTCCCCCTGCTCGCGTGTGTGCTCGTGCTGTCAAGTAAATGAAATCTTAAAAAAAGTTTATACATTAGGTTATTAGTTTTTTTTGAGGTTTTATTTTTTATTTACTTTTTAAAGATTTTATTTATTTATTTGACAGAGACAGCAAAAGAGGGA